TTGGCTATTGCATGGCATAAGGCAATGTCCTTTGGGAGGTGAGTACTGAGTAAGAGGAGTTGTGCCTGTCGATTTTCGATATTCAAGTCAGGTAGTTTAGCTGAAATTTGAAAAGATTCTTTCGCAAGTTACAAATTCATGGACAGTTTGACAATTGTTTCAAAGTGATTGTCCGCATTAAGATCTCAAATTATGTACATAAAATCACATATGTGATATGTGCCATGAAATGAATTCGTCTGCCTAGCATTTAAAACACATCATGCATTAATTGAGACAAAGGGTCCCTCTGGTGATAAATCTTATAATTAATCGAGCCCCTGTATTTTGGGGTCCATGTTGGCAGCCTACGATTAGCCCTAGGCTCCAGAAAATCATCATCCATTATCTCATTTATAATCTATACAACTGACTATAGACAAATGTTGCTATTAGGTTGCTTAAACTTAGGAATTATGTTTTCTCACAAAAGAGTACGTATTTATTTATATTATGAAATGACATATTTTTATTTTATTTATATTGGAAATTAAAATAAAACACTTGAATATGAAAGTAAGTAAATTTGTCGGAAACACAAGGCTGACAAATGTTGTTGTTGGACTGCCTAACGTTAGACACAAAAAAACGCATACTTAGCAATTAAAATAGGGGCATTAATCTTTAAAGAATTCATTTTCCTGACCTAATTGATCAGCGAGCCAAACAAGTAGAAATAATCCACTAGATAATGTGGGTATTAGACAAATATTAAAAGACAAAAGCAATCCACCAAAAAGGTGTATATAATTTGCCTTACAATGCAATATCCAGTTGTCAGGCAGTACAAAGTTTCTAAAATTTAGTTAACAAACAAACATAACACGGATATCAGGGCCACACCACAGCCTTAGCACAGACGACAAAAAATGTAGCAGATGACATACAGTGAACCTCCAAACTCATTTTAGTTCAAAAGTCCCTTCACAAGCCAAATGTTTCACCTAAATTTAGTCCTTACAAGTTTGGAGTTTTCAAGGTTAGTACATGTTTTCAAATCTTTCACAAGTAAAATGCAAGAAAAAATAAAAATAAAAAAAGAATTGGGATAGTCCCTTATACAACTTTTATTACAATATAAGCACTTAAAGTTTACTATACATACATATAAATCTTGATGTATATGCCCGATTTCGTTAGTGATTACTCCCGATTTTTCTGAGCCAGATCACTTTTTATCCTTTGTTACGCCCACCACAACATTGCTTACCTAAATGAAATCGAGATATTTTCAGAATAAATGTGAAGAAGATGAAGAAAAAGGTCTTTACCACGAAACGATGTAAAATCAAGAATTCTACCAGTTTCCCACTCTTGTCAACAGACATGAGGTTTTCTATGACAACAGTTTGGCTCTGAGGATTACGCAATGCATGCATTAGACCAAAAAAATAAAATAAAAATAAATTAAAATAAAAATTGAGCATATAAAGGACTAAGGTAAAATAGGAATAATGCATAAATTCACATCGATTTTCCCATTATGAGGTCATTAATACTAATATGTGTATACCAGGACTTTCGAGGCATATTAGAAACTCACAGCTGAACTTGAGGGCGTGTATGTTGATGCGTGTGGTCCGGTTGGCTGATTCATGGGTATGGGGACCCTAACACTTCCCATCTGAACCAAAGAAAAAAAAAATAAAAAAAAAAATAAAAATCTTGATATTGTATTTATGGAGTACAACTAAAGTTTTGATGCCTATAGAGTCAGTGCATGGCTAAAAGAGCACAAACAAATGAGATTCTAGGAGCTAGCTCATTTTGAAATATACACAAAGAGTTCATAGAAAGTCTAATGAAGAAACTGTAATGATTATTACATATACTACTCATACACAAGGCAGAGCATTTTCTAAATTACCTGGTGCAAGATTTACTGTGTGACAACAAGAGCATCTCACACTCGTGGCACCTCGAGTGTGCATCAGTAATGTACGGCAACCTCCACATATCAGTTGGGCCATCTCCATTCCTGAGGATGAACTGATTTTTAAGTCGTATAATTAAAACCCAAAAATTAAGTGTTATATCTAGAAACAACATATTTAAACACATAGATGTGGACACTTTTTTACTAGAAATAATTAATTATTAAACCATCATTGAAAGTTAAAACCAACTTGATCTCAGCCAAACACTTCTAATACAAACTCAGCATTGTACTTGTAGGCTAACAGTTACGACCATTGGTTCACAAACTAGAAGATGTGCCTAGCATTGGGCAATTGCTTTTGCATTCATAAGTAGCAATACCAAGTATTTTTTGAGCATAACATGTGCATATAAATTCTAGATATTTGACCCTGAGTGTAATACCCAGCTTCATATTCAATAAATGGAGAAGAAAAAAAAGAAGAAAGCTCATATAAAGCTAAAGCTAAACTCAGAGAGCCCGAGATAGATCTGTTCGACCAAGCACAATGGAACTGTACAATATTCAAGTTTTGATAAGAAAAATACAACCAAAAGGAGGACAAGAGTGTGCTTGTTCTTGTTAACTGATACCCCGACACACTACAGAATAACAATCCATAGAAATCAAACCAGCTTCTATTTTGATCATCGAGCTCTCTTTGAGTTGGGCAGTCCAAATAGGTAATCAAGAAAAGTTTGCTCGGTCCATGTCTTAAATTTCCCAATTGTCTTTGCACAAACCTTACATCAGAAATGAAAAGGTGAAAGACTAAGGAAAGGTAGAAGATTTACAACATTCCTGGAATCTAAGTGAGATATATACCCTCGGATAGTAGTATTTGGAATTTTTTAATGGAAGGATTTAAAAAAATCAATATTACATGGATTTGAAGTCCACCTGAAATCCTGAATAACTCAGTCAAACAATTCCAACTAGGATTTACAAGTTATTTATACCATTATACATTAAGCTTAATGGGTCTCTTATTAAGAACTGAAATCCTTACCTCCGTAACCAATGTTTAATATTCGGCACATGTTAAGAACCAAACACCTAATTCTTACTTCCAAGGTGAAAGTTTACCATTTAATGCAGTAAACAACAATCTTGCAGAAGGCGAGTGGGGGACACACTTTAACCATACAATATATGAATATAATACCAAAGCACATGTTTCATAAAGACATCAGATAAAAAAACAATATCATATAGGATAGGGTAGCTGGCAAATTCTACCCACATTTAGTTCTTTTAAATGTTCGAAGATCGGATTTTTATAGCTCCTACGACACGTACAAACCCATTCGTCATACTTTATTCTTTTAAATCGTCGGTCCTATAGATTTGTTCTCGAAACACACAATACAGACCGACATCCAAGAGCTAATCTCTGTTTCATCTTCTTCTATAAAACCCATACACAATACATAAGCTCCATCGAAAATTAAGGAAAAAAAACCTGGAGGAGGAACATTGGTAACTGAACTACACAAGGCGCAGCACACATTGCTTGCCCCACTCGGGTACATGAGAAGATTCCTGCACCCGCTGCAAACTATCTGGCTCTGCATTCCTCTTCCCCACTACACACATTTCAAAAACCCAATTCGTCAGTACATATTTACAAACATGAGTACGCATATTATTTGAAATTTCAGTAGAAGGTCAACAAAACCAGGAAAGAAGAAGAAGAAGAAGAAGAAGAAGAAGAGAAGTACAAGATTCGCCAGAAAGATAATATAGAGCTGGATTTGAACGGCAGGTGCTAGGAGCCGATAGATTCGAGATTCATCGGAGAGTGAGGACGTCAATGGGTTTGGAATCGGAATCGGGATCGGGCATTCAATGAGGGAAGACGAGATATGGCGACAATCTCTTCTCAACCATTTCTAAGTGGTGTCGGGGGTAAATGCCATAATGGATGGATGGCCCTTCTGTTATTTACCCCTTTTTATTCTTTTCTTTTTTAAAAAAAAAAAATTATATTATATTAAAGAAGTTTATAATAATTTTTGAAATATTACATATGTATACATTATTCTTATTTATATTATACATGTAAGATAAAAAAATAATTTATATGTTTTGTGCATAGTCTAAATAATTTGTACTTTAGAGTCTTCATGTTATTTGTCCATACATAGTCCAAATATTTATCGACTCATGTGAATCTTGGTAAGAGGTTTGATCCTCAAGTTCATTAACTAGTATATTCGGTAAAGAGCTTATTGAATTATGGTTTGGTCGAAAATATTAATTTTAAAACAGCTCAATATAAAATATTTAAGAAACAGAAGATTTGAATAATAACATGTCAACTAAAATAACTATACAAAATCATTATTTATCAAACAACTATTTACAAACCGAGCATTTTAAAAAAAGACGATTACAGAATAATATGTCTAACATAAAAATTCTAAAATAATCATACAAACTATTATTTACCAAACGATTATGTACAAAACGACCAATAAAATCTGTTGATCAAATCAGTTATTACAATTCGCTATCAATTTGTTGCTAATACAATCGACTATCCGCTGTCAGCTAATAGCCAAACAGCGTCTTCAAACAAGTGTTTGACTTACTAGAAAATAAAAGTTGAGTATAAGGGGAAAAAAAATAGTTTTTAATTTATGAATGGATAAGTAGAAAATTGTCAATACTAGAGTTGAAATGATATATAATAATTGTGAATTGTTAGTAGTTAAATTACGTGAATTGATGAAGAATAGTAAAATTTGCTTAACTCTATCGTTTATATATTTTAGTTGTGCGGGTAAGATTGTGCCATCGTGGATAAAGAAAGTAGAATAAATAGAACACTAATAATATTTTATTTTAACTAATGTGTTGCAGCGGAGTTCATGAAAATATAGTCAACACATTGCGCTTTGGCACGAAGAGGGAATTAAAATTAATTCATTTCTTTAAACCAAGCTAGTTAAGGCTTTGAAAAGGGCATTTGTGTAATTGTGTACGAGGGTAGTTTGTATTACAATCCAAAAGTTCAGAGTTGGAGAGTAATAAGTAATAACATGTGCTATGTTTTGTGATCATTGTACAGTAAGTTAGGTTAGGTTGCTCACCAAATTAAAATAGAAACAAAGTGTTTCACTTTTAAGGTCAATTACCGTTTAAAAGCATTACTAGTACAACACCCATGTATTACATGGGTGGCGACGGTGCCTCGTTCATAGACGGATTCATAAAAGTGAGATGGGTATCCGGACAAGTCAAATCCAAGACCGTCCCGGCCGACGTCCACCCTTACCATAAATAATCAACATATTATAGATAATCCGAACCTAAATATATTTATTTGGATTAGAAGTAAACTAAATCTATCCAAGCCTAATAACGAAGCATGTATTTTTACCACATAGGATCCCGAAACATGCGAGCCTGCCACATAGGCTCGGCACGTTCTCAATTAATATATAAGGAGGGATAACAAAATTACCATCTCATAAGTCATGATTGTATATAGTTTATTGGAATTTGGAGAAAAAATCGATTTACCTATGAATTAACACAGCTCAATATGGGTGAAGATGAGTGTGTGATTCAATAATAAAAAAACTCTGTAAATATATTGCCATCACTCGTAGTGTCAAATTTATTGAAATTAATTTGGAACATTGAGATACTGCGGTTTTGCTATGAAGCCAACAGTTGGCTTCATAGTGGAGCCAACCTTCTATATACAGCAAGTAAATAACACTAATATAATTTTATTAATATGGTAGGTTTATTTGTTATATATAGAAGGTTGGCTCCATTGTGGAGCCAACTGTTGACTTCATAGCAAAACCGTGAGATACTGACGCACCTTTGCTTAATTTTGGATTTTCAAATCTACCCAATATAGTTTTTATTTTTTGAAAATTGTTGATTATTATTTCAGTATTGAAA